TGAATCACAAATAATTGGAAAATCTAAATAGATTGATTAAGAGTAAGGAAATTGAATCAATCATCTGAAACCGTCCCAAAAGCAAAAGTGCAGGACCAGATGGCTTCACTAGTGAATTATGCCAAACATTCAAAGAGGATCTAATACTTGTCCTGCTCAAACTCTTCCAAAAAATTGAAGAGGAGGCAATACTGTCTAACTCATTTTATGAGACCAACATTATCCTGATACCAAAGCCTGGTAAGGATGACATAAAAAAAGAAAATCACCCACCAGTATTTCTGATGAATACAAATGCAAAAATCCTAAACAAATTTCTAGCAAATCAAATGCAACAATGCATTAAAAACCATGACCAAGTGGGGTTCATCCCAGGGGCACAAGGTTAGTTCAACATATGCAAATGGATCAATGTGATACACCACATAAACAAAATAAAGGACAAAATCATATGATTATACCAATAGATGGAGAAAAAGTGTTTGACAAGATACAACATCCATTTATGATTGAAACACTTAATAAAATGGGTATAGAAGGAAAATACCTTCACATAATAAAGGCCATATATGACAAACCCTCAGCCAATATCATAAATAATGGTGAAAAACTGAAGCCCTAGGTTCAGGAACACGACAGTGCTGTCCCCTATCACCTCTGCTTTTCAAGATAGTATCCGAAGTCCTAGACAGAGCAATCAGGCAAGAGAAAGGAATAACAGGCATTCAAATTGGGAATGAAGAAGTTAAATTGCCACGTTTTGCAGATGACATGATGCTATATATAGAAAACCCTAAAGACTCCACCACAAAGCTATTAGAAATAATAAATGAATACAGTAAAGTTGCCGGCTACAAAATTAATGTATGAAAGTTCATTGCATTCCTATATACTAAGAATGAAATCTCAGAAAAAGAATTATAGAAAAACAATTCCTTTTGCAATTTCAACAAAAATAATAAAATACCTAGGAATAAACTTAACCAAGAATGTGAAAGACCTATACACTAAAAACTATAAGATTTTTTAAAGAAATTGAAAAAGACACAAACAAATGGAAAGACATTTCATGTTCATGGATTGGAAGAATCAACATAGTTAACATGGCCATATTACCCAAAGCAAGATACAGATTTAATGCAATTCCTATCAAAATCCCAATGGCATTTTTTAAAGAAATAGAAGAAAAATTCATCAGGTTTGTATGGAACCACAAAAGACCCCGAATAGCCAAAGCAATTCTAAGAGAAAAGAACAATGCTCGAGGTATCATACTCCCTGACTTCAGCTTGTACTACAGGGCAACAATAATCAAAAGAGTAGGTATTGGCAGAAAAACAGACACACAGACCAATGGAATAGAATCGAGAACACAGAAATAAGCCCACATAAATATGGACAGATAATTTTCGACAAAGAAGCCAAAAACATACAATGGAGAAAAGACAGCCTGTTCAATAAATGGTGCTGGGAGAATTGGATAGCCACGTCCAAAAGAATGAAACTAGACGGCTATGGGTCACTGTGTACCAAAATTAGCTCAAAATGGATCAAACACCTAAACATAAGACCTGAAACAATAAAGTGCATGGAAGAAACCAAGGTACTTAAACTTATGGACCATGGATTGGAAGAGGATTTTATGAATTTGACTTCAAAGTCAAGGGAAATAAAAGGTAAAATAAATGAATGGGACTATATCAAACTAAAAAGCTTCTGCACCACAAAAGAAACCATTGTCAAAATAAAGAGGCAGCCTACCAAATGGGAGAAGATTTTTGAAAACAATGCCTCCAATAAGGGGCTAATATCCAAAATACATAAGGAAATTATACAACTCAACAACAGAAAAACAAACAACCCAATTAAAGAATGGGCAGAGGACCTGAAGAAACATTTCTTCAAAGAGGACATACAAGTGGCCCATAGATATATGAAAAAATGCTCAACATTACTAATCATCAGAGAAATGCAAATAAAAACCACAATGAGATATCAACTCTCACCAGTTAGAATGGCTGTCATCAATAAGACAAATAACAACAAGTGTTGGAGAGGCTGTGGAGAAAAAGAAACCCTCATACACTGTTGATGGAAATGCAGATTGGTGCAGCCGCTATGGAAGGCAGTATGGAGATTCCTCAAAAATTAAGAATAGAATTACCATATGTCCCAGCAGTTCCACTCTTGGGTATCTACCGAAAAAACCTGAAAACATTTATTCATAAAGATATATGTGCTCCGATGCTCATTTCAGCTTTATTTATGGTGGCCAAGAAATGGAAACAACCAAAGTGTCCTTCAATAGATGATTGGATAAAGAAGTTGTGGTATATATACACAATGGAACACTATTCTGCTAACAGAAAAGGTGAAATAGTGCTATTTGTGACAACATGAATGGATCTTGAGATTATAATGCCAAACGAAATAAGTCAGACAGAAAAAGTCGAGAACCATATGATTTCACTGATATGTGGTATATAAAACTGAAAACAACAAAAGAACAAGAAAAACAAATGAAGAAACAAAACTCATAGACACAAATAATAGTTTAGTAGTTACCAGAGGGTACGGGGGGAGAGGGGTGTTAGATGAAGGTAAAGGGAATCAAATATATGGTGAAGGAAAGAGAACTGACTCTGGATGGTGAACACACAATGTGATATATAGATGATGTATTACAGAATTGTGCCCTGAAATCTATATAACTTTGCTAACGATTGTCATCCAATAAACTTTAATGAAAGAAAAAATCATACCAATTATCTTCTGACCACAATAGCATAAAACTAGAAATCAAAACAAGAGGAAAATGAGAAAATTTACGAACACATGGAAATTAAATATCACTGTCCTGAACAACCAATGGTTCAAAGAAGAAATTAGAAGGGAAATGAAAAAGTTTCTTGAGACAAATGAAAATGGAAACGCAACATACCAGAAATTATGGGATGCAGCAAAAGCATTTCTAAGAGAGATATTCATAGCAATAAATGCCTACATTATGAAGCAAGAAAAATCTCAAGTAAACAACCTAACTATATCTCAAGGAACTAGGAAAAAAAATACGGAAGAACTAAGCCCAAAGTTTTCAGAAGGAAGGAAATAATAAAGTCTAGATCAGAAATAAATGAAATAGAGAACAGAGAAAGAAGAGAATAATTAATCAAACTTAGGGTTGTTTCTTTGAAAAGATAAATAAAATGGACAAACTCTTATTTCTACTAATGAAGTAAAAAAAACAGAGAGGACCAAAATCACAAAATTATAAATTAAAAAAGGAGGTATTACAACTGATACCACAGAAATACAAAGGATCATAAAAGTCTACTTTGAACAACTGTACTCCAACAAACCAAAACACCTAGAAGAAATGGAAAAAATCCTTAGAAACATGCTTACAAAGAGTGAATAAAGAAGAAATATAAAATTTGAATAGACCAATTACTAGTAAGAAGACTAAATTAGTAATAAAAAATCTCCCACTGAAGAAAAGCCCAGGATCAGATGGCTTCACTAGTGAATTTTACCAAATATTTAAAGTAGAATTAACATCAACACTTCTCAGTGTCCTCCAAAAAAAGGGAACACTCCACAACTCAATTTATAAGGCCAGCATTATTTTGACAACAAAGCCAGAAAAGGACACTACTAGAAAAGAAAACTATAGGCCAATATCTCTGATGAATATAGATATAAAAATTCTCAATAAAATACTAGCAAACTGAATTTAGCAGCACATTAGAAAGACCATTCTCCATGATCAAGGGGGATTTATCCCTGGGATGCAAGGATGATTCAACATACAGACATCAACCAATGCATTATTTGTGTCTATTTGTAGAATGAAAGAAATGAATGATATGATCATCTCAATTGATGCAGAAAAAGCATTTAACAAAATTCAACATATATTCATGATAAAAAAGAAAACACCTAACAAACTGACATAGAAGGAACATACTCAATATAATAGAGCATATATAACAAGCCCACAGCTTACATCATACTCAATGGTGAGATTTTGAAAACTTTTTCTCTAAGATCAGGACTAAGACAAGTGTGCCCACTCTCACTGCTCCTATTCAATATAGTATTGGAAGTCTTAGCTAGAGCAATCAGACAAGAAAAAGGAACAAAAGGCATCAGACTTGGAAATAAATAAATAAAATTGTCTCTATTTGCAGATGACATGATTTTATATACAGAAAACCCTAAAGACGCAACCCCAAAACTATCAGAACTAATCAATGAATTCTGTAAAACTGCAGCATACAAAATTCACATACAAAAATCAGTAACATTTCTATGTACTTACAATGAATTTTCTGAAAAAGAAATAAAGAAATTGATCCCATTCACAATAGTATCAAAAACAATAAAATATCTAGGAATAAATTTAACCAAGGAAGTGAAAGATCTCTACTCTGTAAACAACAAAACACTGATGGAAGAAATTGAAGAAGACACAAATAAATGGAAAGGCATCCGATGTTCATGGCTTGGAGTAATTAATAATGTTAAAATATCCATACTACCAAAAGCCATCTATAGACTCAAAAAAAATCCCTATTAAAATTCCAATGGCATTTTTTACAGAAATAGAAAAAACACTGCTAAAACTTATATGGAACCACACACACACACACACACACACACACACACACACACACACAAATACAAAATAGCTGAAGAAATCCTGAGAAAGGAGAACAAAATTAAAGGCATCATGGTTCCTGATTTTAAGCTATCCTGTAAAGCTACAGAATTAAAACAGTACTGTACTGGCATAAAAACAGACAAATAGACCAATAAAACAGGATCAAGAGCTCAGAAGTAAACCCAAGCATACGAGTGTATATATTTGAAGCATTGTTTACAAATGGAGAAGGTGATCAGTACAATGTTTTTCAATAAAAAATGGAGAATTCTCAAAGGCCTACAGTATGTAATACTGTAGTACAAAATAAAGTATGGATACATACTTTTGCAGATCTGTTTTAAAATGGAATTTTTAAATGTTCATGAACATGTTTCCTCAGTCTCTGTAATAGAAAAGTGCATCTGTGAGTGGAGACTTTTGTCAAAAAGTAACATGTTATGCTGAGAAAATGAAGTTTTAGCAAAAACACCTATTATAAAACAATTCTACAGCAGTAGGAAAACTGGGGTTAATATTACATAATGTTGTTATAATAACATAAAAATTCCCACAAATTGGGTAACTTAAAGCAATAGATATTTATTCTCTTACAGATCTGGAATACAAAACCCTTATTCAAAGTGCTGGCACAGTCACTCTCCCTCCAGAGGTTCTAGGGGAGTATCGTTCCTTACCTCTTTCTTCCAGGTTCTTATAACATTGGTATTCCTTGGCTTGTGGCCACAGCACTCTAGTATCTGCCTCCATCTTCCTATCACCTTCTCCTTTGTGTGGGTCTTTGTCTTCTCTTCTGTCTCTATCTTAACAGACAAGCAAGATCTTTAGCTTAATTGCATCTTTTGTCATATAAATAATATTCACAGATTCCAGGGATTAGATCATGGACATGTCTCTTTTTTTCTGGGGGTGGGGGCGGGGAGGTGCATCATTCAGGCCACTACCTCTACTATGATACACTTTCTCTTACTCAGTTTCTTTTGTTCTCAGAGATTGACATTTTAACATGTTAACATGTTAATTGCATAACCAGTATCCCCTTCATCTTTGCTGACAGAATCCCCATTTTGTTTGGGACATCTGAGCTGGTCCCTGTTTTTCCAGCCTCCCTTGCAGTTAGTTCTGGCCAATGAGATTGAAGGGAGAATATAATGGGGAGAAGTTTCTGGGAATTGATTTTACTTCCTGATAAGAGGAGATGATGGACTTTCCTGGTCCTCCCACTACATTCAGCAATTCCACTCCTGAGTATCCAAGTGAAAGGAACAGTTATGTTCACACAAAAACTGTACATGAATAGAAGCTTTATTTGTAGTAGCCAAAACTGGGGGTTGGGGGGAGCCAAATGTCCTCCCACTGGTGGATGGATAAACTCTGATATATCCATATGCTATAATACTGTTCAGCAATAAAAAGGAATGAGCTACTGATATATGCAACAACCTGGATGGATCTCCAAAGAATTCTACTGAGTGAAAAAGCCAATTCTAAAAAGTTCATATAGTATGATTCCATTTTTACAACATTTTTGAACTGACTACATTTTCTAAATAGAATAGAAGGCAGATTAGTGGTGTCAGGGGTTGGGTTGCAGGAGGTGGGAAAAAGTTTGCTGTAGTTATAAAAGAGCAAAAAGAAGGATCCGTATGTTGATGAATTTTTTTTTGTATCTTGACTGTCGTGGTCGTTACAATAACCTACATATATGGTAGTGTTGCATAGAACTAAATTCACACACATACACCTTTACAAATAAAACTGTGAAAATCTGAATAAGATCAGTGAATTGTATTAATGTCAATATCCCAGTTGTTATGCTGTACTATAGTTTTGCAAGATGTTACCATTGGGGAAACTGGGTAAAGTGTACATGACATATTTCTGCATTATGTCTTACAACTGCATGTGAATGTACATTATCCCAATAAAAATGTTAATAAAAATTCATTGTCATGATGGCATATTTATAGAATGCTAAGGGATACAACAGGAAGAAGTACCGAAATCTTCCTTGAAAGTGGGGAAGGGGGAAGAATTTGTATTGAAAGAGAGACCTAAGCTGAATCTTGAAGAATGAGTAGGTAGGGGCTATACCAGAAAGAGGGGGTAGCAGGCAAAGAAATCTGAGACAGCGTGCTGGATTGAGAGAACTGCATAATTCAAGTATGCCTGAAGCTTAAAAAGCATATGTAGGTGATATCTCTTTTCCTGAAGTGCTAAGCTTTGGAAGTAGTCAAAATAAATCCCTGGCATTCAATACTATGATACACAAGAATCAAAAGGGAACCCCAGAGCTCCTTGTTCTCCAGGAGTTAGAAGACAGCCACTCCCACTTCCCTGATCTCCTTTTTATTGGTTGAGTTAAGAATTGCCCTCATATATGTCTGTACTTCTTGCAGGATCCCCATCTCTCTCATTCCCTCACTCCAATACTCACAGCCTCACAACAATTATCTCCTTTGATATCATTAGGATCATGGCATTATGCTCTTATCTCTGCTTATTTCTGTTTATTAAAGATGTTCAGAAATTTCAAATCCCTAGACCCTAATCTGCATACAAGTCTGCACATTCTCCTTTGGATCCTTTTCCCCACCCCTCACAACCACCTTAATTTATTCTACAATGTCTACTGGAAATTACAGTCCATCACCAGAAAAATACTATATATCGTATACCTCTTTTTTTCTATTAAATCTATTGGAGTGACTGATTAGTAAAATTATGTAGGTTTAAGTGTACATTTCTATAATACATCATCTATATATCACATTGTATGTTTACCACCCAGAGTCAGTTCTCCTTCCATCACCATATATTTGACCCCCTTTTCCCTCTTCTACCATTCTTCCTACCCCTTACCTTCCAGTAACCACAAAACTGTTGTCTATGAGTTTTTGTTTGTTTCTTTGTTTGTCTTGTTCATTTGCTGCTTTCAGTTTTATATCCCACATATGAATGAAGTCATATAGTTCTTGATGTTTTCTTTCTGTTTTCTCTTTTTTATGTTATGTGTCTCAGTTCTGGATTTTTTTTCAGTGATTACCATTAAGTTTATGTAAAAGAAAGTTTCATGTACATATACAGTAATCCTTTTTCTTCAGCATGCATCTTATCTCCATTCCCCTTTGCAAATTCAGACCTTTATTCGCTCCCCTTTTATGTTTTTGTTGTCAGAAATTATCCCCATTTATGCTGTGAGTTCATTCCTGAGTTGCAGTAGCAAATGGTCTTCCCTTTTCCTTGTTTATGTTTTTATCTTCTTTACCCTTTATGTTACGTTTAAGTGTATAGTGCCCTATTCTGTGTAGGGGTTGTCATTTCCTACTTCTGTCCATCTGTTAGTAATCTTACTCATAGTTTTACATCCTTTTGTCTTTCTATTTCAAGTAGAATAACCTCCTGCAGTATTTCCTGTAAAGCAGGCCTTGTGGTGGAATTCCTCAGCTTCTGTATATCTAGAAGGGTCTTTATTCTTCTTTCATATCTAAAGGATAACTTTGCAGGATATATTACTCTTGGCTGGGAATTTCTCTCTTTCAATAGGTTGAATGTTTGATTCCACTCCCTCCTGGCTTGTAGAGTTTCTGCTAAAAATTCTGATGAGTATCTATTGGGCTTTCCTTTGTAGGTTACCATCTTCTTTTTCCTAGCTGCCTTGAGAAGTTTTCCTTTGTAATGAATTTTTGACAGCCTCCATATCATCTGTCTTGGGGAAGGCCTGTTAGGATTGAGGTAATTAGGTATTCAGTTTACTTCTTGGATTCAAAGATCCAGTTTTTTCCATAGATTTGGGAAGTTCTCATTGACTATTTGTTTGAATAGGCTCTCTGAGCCCTGCTCCCTCTCTTCTCCTTTTGGTACACCCAGTATTCTTATATTGCTCTTTCTGATGGAGTCAGATAGTTTTTGTAGAGCCCTTTCATTTCTTTTACAACTCTAGTCTCTCTCTTCTTCCATCTATGTCATTTCCAGGTTTCTATCTTTGATATCACTAATCCTTTCCTTCACCTGGTCAGCTCTGTTTCCTAAGCTTGCTATTTCATTCTTCATGTCTCTTATTGAGTTCTTCAGCTCCAGAATTTCTATTTGGTTCTTTTTAAAATTTTCAATCTCTTTGGTAAAATATTCATTTTGTTCATTGATTTTGTTTCTTTTTTTTTTAATCTTTTTTTTTAAATTGGGGAATTGGGGGAAGGGGAACAGACAAGTTGCTGTTGCTTTGTTCTTCAGTGTAGTTGTGGAGGACGTTGCTTCACTGGCCCAAGTTGGCACCATCATTGCGCTCTTCCCGGGCGAGGCACATCAGTCGCCAGCTTTCTGGACAGCCGCTCACTGCGGCTGCTGGCCACTCATGCTGGCTGCTTGGTAGCCCATGGCAACCCACTGCCACAGGGACTGCAGCCTACACCATCGCCAGCGACTCCCAGAAGCCCAGCTCCAGGTTGAGCTGTTTTTCAGCATCTTAGCTGTGGAGGGCAGTGTCACTAGCCCTCATATGTGGGATCCGAACCGGGCCCCTCTGGCGTCCCAAGCCAGTTCTTAACCATCGCGCCACTCGGCCGGCCCTGATTTTGTTTTTCTTTTCTTTTCTTTCTTTTTAAAAGATTTTTTTTGAGGAATTGGGGGGATGGGAACAGCACTGGGGAATTGGGGGAAGGTAAACAGACAAGTTGCTGTCGTTTTGTTCTTCAGTCTAATTGTGGAGGATGTTGCTTCACTGGCCCAAGTTGGCAGCATCATTGTGCTCTTCCCGGGCGAGGCAGATCAGTCACCGGCTTCTGTACGGCCGCTCACGGCGGCTGCTGGCCGCTCATGCTGGCTGCTGGCTACACACGGTAGCCCATGGCAACCCGTTGCAGCAGGGGCTGCAGCCTACACCATCGCCGGCGACTCACGGCAGCCCAGCTCCAGGTTGAGCTGTTGTTCAGCATCTTAGCTGTGGAGGGCAGTGTCACTGTCTCTCATATGTGGGATCCGAACCGGGGCCCTCTGGCATCCCAAGCCAGCTCTTAACCATCATGCCACTCGGCCGGCCCTCTTTTCTTTTTTTAAAAATTTCTCTTTCTGAGGTTCCATTGTTAGTATATAAGAATGCAATGGACTTTAGTAAATTGATTTTGTAGCCAACTTTACTGTATTCATTTATTGTTTCTAATAGCTTTGTGGTGGAGTCTTTAGGGTTTTCTATATATAGCATCATGTCATCTGCAAACAGTGGCAATATAACTTCTTCATTCCCTACTTGGATGCCTTTTATTCCTTTCTCTTGCCAATTGCTCTGACTAGGACTTCCAATACTATATTGAAAAGCAGAGGTGTTAGGGAACAGCCCTGTCATGTTCCTGGATGTAGAGCAAAGGGCAGCTTTTGTTTCTGAGTTCATTAACCTGCCTATCTGAGTTTTCTTGCATCTTGTTGAGTTTTTTCAGAACTGCAATCTTGAATTCTCTGTCATTTAAGTCACATATTTCCATGTCTTTAAGTTTATTTTCTGGAGGTGTTTCATTTTCTTTCTGAGCTGCCTTGTTATCTTGGTTATTCATAGCAAGTAATGGGTTATTTCTCTTCCTGGGCATCTATGGGAGTGAATTCTGCAGCAGGTTGATATGAAGAGGTTCTTCTCTCTCTCTCTCTCTCTCTCTCTCTCTCTCTCTCTCTCTCCAGTAGGTAGTACTGGAGCATTTTACTATCTCATGCACTATTTTGGTTTCTCATGCAGTGGGAGATTTCCTGGGGAAGCGCGCATCTCATCCATGACCAGGTTGCTTCAGTATCAGGGCACCACCACTGTGGGAG